TCTATAGAGAGCAGTATTTTCTGCCTCCCTCAGACTCAGGTGACTGGAGAGTCGCTATCAGCCCAGGGCTGCACTTATCAAAATGTTCTATGTAGTGTTTGTTCCCCAGGGTGAGGGAGGCCTGGAAATGAGAACTGTTTTTGTTGCCACCCTGAAGAGCTGGAGGTTTGTTAAGAAGGGAGATGCAGATCGGGGGATGGTGGTGGTGGAACGGGGTGAGGGATGAAAGGAGATGGGAGGGTGGACCGTGGAGCAGGATGAGTGGTGAGAGAAGCCAGGAAAGCTCTCCTGAACATCCGGGTGACTTAGATTGTGGACTCTCCGAATGTCCTGCGCTCTGAGTAGTTTTAGGGTTATTCAAGAACAGGTTGATGGTATTATGGGGTTAGAAGAAGATGGTGCTCAATCCAGAGTACCCCCAGTATCTGTGCTTTGCAAAGGCAGTTAAGGGCGTGCAGGAGGACAGTTCTCCACTAAGTGTGGACATTCCAGGGACAGCGTCAGTTGCTCTTTCCTGCCTCCTTCCCTCCCTTCTTGCCTTCCTCACCTCTCTTTCAATCCCAATTTACTTCTCCCAGTAATTGTATGACCAGCCCTGCTTTAGGGATGAAAGTTTAAGTATCGAGGAAATGAAATGGCTTTCCCAAGCTCATGCAGCCAGATGAAAAAGGAAAAGTCAGACTGAGCTCCTCTCAATGCTCAAATTTGTATTCTTTCCAAAGCATTATAATATTCGCCCTTCACAAAGTAGGAATTGTCTGCAGAAGTCCAGTGAGTGTTCTAGGCTGCCTCGTACTGCCAGACTGGGCACCCAGTTGTCACCACGTATGTAGTCCATGCCCCAAATTTCCCTAGGACTTGGCCTCTGCATGGGCCAGTTATAGGGGCCTAGCAGAGCACCTCGGAGAGCTGCGGCCCTGTGAGTGAGGTGAGGAAGACAGCCTGTCATCTGGAGGGCTCTGCTCTTGAACTAGGACAGCTGTGGCTGCTAAAGCTCGCTGTTGGTGGCACTTTGGTTTCTTTTGTGTTTTCCACGGGTGTGTGCTGTCTGACTTAGTCTGGGCTGACCAGGGCATGCTTTGCAGGTCCTGTTGCAAAATGGAAAGATGAGCTCTGTGCTGGCCAACTTTCTGTCTCTATCACAGATTCTAATAGACTTGTGTAGAGGAAAGGTTCATTTGGGCTTATGGTTGGGAAGTTCCAGTCCGTGGCAAGTTGGTCCATTGTTTTTGGGCCTGAGGGGAGATGGCACGTCACGGAAGAAACACATATTGGAACAAAACCGTTCACCAGGTGGCCAGGAAGCAAAACACAGCAAGGGTAGGAGGAGGGTCCTGTTCTCCTTGGAGGGCACAATCGTGATGACCTAGATGTCTCCCACCAGCCCTGACCATGAAAAGCTCCACTACCTCCAGCCGTGCCACCTGGGCAATAAGGCCTTTGGGGGACATTTAAGATCCCAACTATAGCTAGTCCTTTGTTACAAAATTATTGCCCCAAGATGGTAAAATAAGAGCATTAAATCAAATGCAGAGACCTTCAAAGCCTGGAGCCCATGTAGGCACACAAGAGCACAGGATATGCATCCTGGAAGCTGGCTCTGAGGCTCGTTCCTATTAATTTGGCCCAACTGAGACACTCAGGGAAGACCAGCCTTTTCATTGTATCATGGTGACTAACACAGAAACAGCTGCTAGGGAGCAGGTGGGGTTCTGTGAAAATGCAAACCGCCGACAGTAGCTGTCACAAGCTCATGTGTTTGTCCTTTCCTTCATGAAGTCATTCCTTTGAAGGCATCGACTGATCGACCTCCTACTGTAGGCCAGGTGCTGCACTAGGTGCTGGGGACTCTAACATATAGGTCCCCCTGGCCCTTAGGACAGAGCAGCTTAGACACGGGGGTGGCTGTCAGTGGCCACTTCATCTCTTACCCGAAGTCTGTTTACCAAGGAGACTGTCTGTCCCCCGGTGACACATTCATTGAGGATACAGTGGGTTTTCATGTGACAAAAACCAGAAGTTGATTCTGCTACACAAAGGCATTTACTGAAAGAATATGGGGAATCTCATAGTCTTGAAGGAAATGAAAATCCAAGAACTCAGGCAGGTTTGGGCAGCCTGAGCAGAAGAAGTTCCTTCAGAAATGCTGCTGCTGCCACCGCTGCTGTGAAAATGAATCAACTTTGGCTTCATATTTCTGTTTTGCTAACTGAGATATCTGCAGAGAATCAAGCTGGCTTCTTCTCAGTTCACGTCGCCCTGCCTCCATGGGTCTGGCCAGGGTCCATGGTGTTTTACTTTATTTTCCTTGCTGGATCTCTAAGTCCCACTCCCCTCTTCCCTGTTGACCACCACTTGAAATGAGCTGGGTTTACGCACTTGCCTTATAAGCATGCACTTGGCTGTAAAACACACAGCGTCTCTGGTGGATGCTGTGCGATGAAGATTTATATCATCGCTTCTATGCTGCAAGTAGAGTTCTGATTCCCACTTTTTTCTGGGTGAAAATGTTTCTAAAGTCTCCTCTATAGTGCTGGCCTCTCCTCTACAGTGCCACGTTACAGTTCCTAGGATTCACCTCCATATTTGGGGGACCCTTTCCTCAGGGATGGTCACCTGGCTCTGTCTCCGGTTCCTGTTACACCAGGCCCCTGTGATAAACAGCCTCACTTATGGCCCCTTGGACATGAGTGAAGGTTCTCCTGGATGGAGGTCTTACCGGGTGTAAGTACCACTGTGGAGGTGTGGGGTGAGTGGGGTACACATTAAGAACGCAGCTGCTCAGATTCTTTCTCTGAAGATGCTGAGTTTGTAGATCAGAACCAGGTCCCGGAATAATAATTTTAACAAAGCGAGTCTTACGATCAAGCTCATTTGGGGAAACCGATCTGTAGTACATACGTGGGAGCTGGGTTGCTGGACTAAGGGTACAGTAGCTCATTTCACTGGGAATTGTGAATAGTTCTCTGAAAAGACTTCTGCTGGTCCTTTCCTCCCTCCCTCCCTTCCTATTTTTCTTTCCTCTTTTTTTTTTTCCTCCTGGTGCTGGGCACACACCCATGTTCTTTTTTTTGTATCAGGAATCGAACTCACGACCTTGCACTGGCCAGGCAGTTGCTTGTGCCCCTGAGCTAAGCCACCAGCCCCTAGAGCCATGTTCTTGGTCACTGAGTCACACCCCGGCCCTTTCAGCTCTGATCCAGCTCCCAGCTTTCTGTCTTCAATGCCCAGTGTCTCTTAGGGGCTCCCCCGTATGATCGCTTGCTCTGTTTTACCGAATTTTCCTTTCTCTCTCTGAGGAGAGTATGCCTCCTTTCCTTGGCCCATTAGAGTGAGTCTGTCTAGCCCCGAGCACGCTGTTTACTGTCCTGCACGGTGCTCTCCCCTCTCAGCTCTTACTCTTGTAGACTAGCAGGCCCTTGGCCGGCAGTGTGAGCCTCCGCCGATGGCTTTGCCCAGGTCCCAGACTGGGTTGCTCTGAAGCTGGGAGAGACAGCGAGAGTCAATAAGGGTGGCACTCGGGGCGCGGTGGGAAGGGTCGGATGGAGTTGAAGACCCCACAGGGGCAGTGGGGAGCCTCGTACAGTGACGGGAGTCAGCCTCCAAGTTGGCTGTGTTGCTCCCTGTTCCCAGGACAGAGCGTCTCCTTGGTCGGACCTGGGTCCTGTGGCCACCTCTAGGCCAGGGCCGGATGTCTGGCTGGGCAGACAAATGCAATGGTTAGCTGCGGTTTTCTCCCCGATGGAGAAGAGTTACACCTCCTGTCCCGCTGGACCTGCTCAGCATCAGCCTTGAGCCCTCCTGTGCATCCTTGATTTCTCCATCTCCTTATCTGTGAAAACGGCAGCCACAGCTCAGCCAACTCCATCGTCAGCTCCACTGGAAACCTGACATGGAGAACAAAATGCAAAACTGTAATACATTAAGAGCATCAGACCATGGTGATATAGACACACTCATGTCTACAGCAGCATGATTGGTAATAGCTAGGTCTTAGGAACTGCCCAGGCAGAGCTTAACAAAGGTGGATGAATCGTGGGGTGTTGTAGCTCACTGGTGTGAGAGACAGGGCCTTGTGGGAGAGGCGGGTCCTGGCCCCGGGCCGGAGGGTAGATCTACCTCCTCCACTCTTCATTCTCGGCTTCCTGACCGCCAGGAGCAGCTCTCTTCTTCCACATTATCACCGCCCAGGCAAGGACTGAAACTTCTCAGTGTGAGCCAGAGTCAGCTTCCCTCTCCTGGGAGCTGTCCAGGCTGAGGAAAGTAGATCCCTGGAAAGAGGGGACTGGAACAGGGAGTGAATCTAACGAAGTAAATTCCATTAGAACTTGTTAGACACCAGGTGTCAGGGCAGTGTTCAAACCCGCTCTATCTGAGCACTTACATAACTGCTTGGATCCAGGGATCCCTTTTTATGACTGTGTTGTATTCCACCACACATCCCTAGTCGCTGTTTTTCTTGGGGATGGTTTCAAGTGGAAATATATAACCAACCTATTATCTTAAAGAGAAAAAGTACAAAAAAATGTAGAATTATCTAAGGAATAGCACATTGGCATTGGGCCGGGCAGAGAGGGCCAGGTTAAAGTGACTGGCAAAAAGACTCTAGAAACTAAAGCGTATCAGGAAGTCTACAGACCAGAAAGACAGACAAAAAAATCAGAACCAAGATCCATCGCCAGCATTCCCTAGTCATTAAAACCAAGTGGCAAATATGACTTGAAAAATCACTGCATTATAGCATATGAGAGCGAGGATTTAAGATTAGCTGGACATGGTGGCACATTTCTGTAGTCTCAGCATTTAGGAGGATGGACGGGAGGAATGCCAATTCAAGCATGTCTGGGCTTAAACTTAAAGAGACCCTGTCTTAAAAATAAAATAAAATAAAAACAAGGGCTGGGCATATAGCTTAGTGTGGAGACCTGGGGTTCAATCCCCAGCACAGACACAAACACACAAACACACACATGTACCTACATAGAAAAAAATACAAAAAACAAAAACTAAGATTTTCAATCACATTGTTCTCATAAAGACTCTAATATTACTTACAGAGCTTTTTATACAGTTGGTGATTTTTTGATAACTATTTCAAACTATTAAAATCTCTTTAAAATTCCTTGCTTTTATGTCTCAATATGTTTCTAATAAATTAACACACACAAATATATAAAACCACAAAGAAAATGATCAATACACCAGCACCATCTGAAAAATAGTTTTTCTGACAAAAATGTTTGGCACCCACCACAGCACACTTTAAATGCCACTGTCATCGTCACTGTTGCTCTCTGCCGTTTAGAGCACACTACGTTTGATGAGCACTTATTTCTGCCACCAACAGCTGTTTGATTGTTTTTGTTTTCATACATTCTGCATCTTGTGTGTGTCTTTCTCTCTGTGTATGGATCTGACCACCTGTCTGTAAACTTCAAATTGCACATCCATCTCGGTGTGTAGCCAGGTTTCTAACTGGTCCCTCTCCTTCCCCTTCATCAACGTTTGCATCCTTTTCATTTCCTTTTTTAAAATTGAAATGATTCTGAGCCTGCATTTGGAGGTCTTCTGCAGCGCATCTCGGGGAGTTTCTGCCCGGCTTCCTCAGTCTGCGTCTGTCCCGCTTCCCATCTTACCTTGCAGGGCTGCTGGCTTCAGAGCTCTGCTCCCTGCATCACTCCCATTCCTCTCCGGAGGACAGTCAGTTCCCGGGGAGGCTCCGTGGAGACTGAGAACCAGGCCCCCACTAACTCTGATTCATTGTTGGGGCAGAAATAGGGTGATGGTGGCAGAGCCTGGACACTGCGGTCCCCAGGACCAACTACGGGGCGGGGCCGTGGTGGAGGCGGCTCCTGGAGGGGGTTCTGGTCTTCCTGTCCCAGCACATCCTCCCTTCCTGGAGCTTTGGGTACCCGCGGGTGACAGCAGACAGGCTACAGTCGGGGTTATGCGAGGGAGAGGTCTGCTTGGCTCTGTCAGTGCAGGGAGGGTCTGAGCCTCTACCTCCCAGGCCAGGAGGATTCTCATATGTGAGGCACCTCGGTATAAAACCGCATGAGACAGAACTCAGTGGATGCGAGGCCCAAGGACTTTAGTCTCTGCATCCCCCAAACTGCTTTCCCTGAAAGGCTGCATCCTCACTCCCAGCACAGTCTAAACAGGGAGGCCAGGGGGTCAGTGCCTCTGCCACTCCTGCTGGCTGGGACCTGGTCCCTGCCAGGTAGCTTCCTGTGTCCCCTTATCACCCTGCACTCGGGGCTGCTGGGACATGAATGTCCTTGGAACTGTGTGTCCATGGTTGTCGGGAGCAGAGGCCGATCTTGGGGGGCCTCACAGCTGTGTCCTTTGGGGGATGTCATCCCTCAGTCTCTAAGCACGTCCTGGAGGATCCATTGGTCCGGTGCCTGCTGTGGTGGTAACCTGAGCCCCGGGGTGGCTGCAGCCCTTGGGCCAGGGTACTCTGCTCCTTTTCCAAGGCCTAGCTCCTCTTCAATGACAAGCGATGTCCCCACAGATACTGTGTGTAGGGATTTCCCTGCATTATCTGCTCCAGCCACTAGAAGCCCGGTTTCCAGGAAAGCAGCCCCATGATCCAACCTGGAAAACCCTGTCTCCAGCACAGCCCCTGCGTGGCATTTATGTCCAGCCTGTTGTGCTTCTCCGCAGAGGCTATGTGACATCATTTCCTGCCCTCTCGCCACCCTCCATGCCAGGCAGCGTAGGAGTTCTTGGGGTCACAGGAGTGACAGACCTGCTCCCTTCCTTTACCAGAACACCTGCAGTCCTGGCTACCTTCCCTGGCTAGGAACCGTGTGCTTGGAGCTCTGGGAACCCACGCCTGAGATGTAGCTACGGCTTCGCGCTGCCCAGTGTGCCAGGCGGCCCTGTGAGAGATCGCACTTGCAGGAGGGGCTCTTCCCTCGCTGCTGATAAGTGGAACCCATTTCCCTGAACCCCGCATCATGCAAGGCACTTAGTGAAAAATAAGTGACATGGACATGCAGGCGCCTCCTGTTAGGTATCTCTAGTGACTGTCCTCAAGTAAGTGGCAGATGCCTTGGTAACGTGGAAAAGTGGGGGAGGAGGGGACTGTATAGCTCATGATATGAAGGGGATATTTTTATACCCATATATGTCTCCCCCAGAGAACCAATAAATAATGTGGTGGCCCTGGCTGGCCTGTCTTTCCATAGCTGCCCAGGAGCCTGCTGGCCCCCCGGGCAGCTTCTCCTATTTCAATTTCCATGTCCTCTCTCGGGTTTGTAACTCAAGGAGCTCCCTGGGCTTAGGGACAGCTGATGACTCGAGAGCTCTGCAGGGTGGCACCTGGGAAAGGGGTGGATGGGTGCTGACATGCCGGCCAGTCCCTGGCTGCCATGAGTCATTTGTGAGGTGAGCAAGAATGCGTGCCGGGGAGTAGGGGGACGTTTGGTGCCAAAGCCGGGGATCTGGTGAGGCCTGATGAAATGGGGGTGCGCGCCAGTGAGGGGAGGATGGCTGGCAGCCCTCTCCTCAGGGATCCTTCACATCTTTCCTTTGCCAGAAGGGCGCTAGCCCCACATGGAGGGGTGTCGTGTGAAATTCAGGGGCGTTGCACGGTGCTCACGGGCCATGTCGGAGGTCTAAGGAGCCCTGAGGAGAGCCGCCTCCTTGCAGAGCTTCGGATCCACACAGCAGGAAGCCAGGACCGCTGCCCCCACCCCATACATCGATCGCCAAGGCTGCACCCGTGCGTTGTAGGGCTCAAGCACACACTTGACTGGCAGGAGGGGAGTGGGCAGCACAGGTGGCCGCAGCCACGATGCCCGGGTCCTTGTCTCCGCTTGCTCTGCCCACCCCTCCCACAGCCTGTCCCTGGCCCTTCCCTAGCAGTGGCCTTTCCTTCAGGGTTGAGGTAAACCCTCCACTGCCTTGGCCCTGGGGAGGGACAGCTGACCAGGGTTAGGTGACGGGAAGAACATGGGGACAGTCCCCCCGCCCCTCCAGCTGTCGTGTGACGGAGTGCCAAGCATGTCTGTTGGGGAGCGGCTGGTGGAGCTGGTGTTGGCAATCAGGCTCTGGTTCACTCTGTCCCTCAGTGTGCAGTGGACATTTCCCAGAACACCCCTCAAGGACAGGGACCAAGTGGCTCTAAGCTCCACGGGGCATCTTTGCTCAGAGCCTCGAGATGATGCGTGTCCAGTTTCCCCAGGCCGTGCTGCCACCGGACCTGCCCACCTCTGCCTTCTCCTGGGCTCTGCATGTCAATAGCATTTAATAAATATTAGAAAAATGTATAAATAGCAGCCTGTGAGCCTCCGACCTTTGTCAGTGAAGTTCCTCCTTCAAGAGCCCAGATCGATCCACCCCTAACCAATGGAGCCCGGAGCCCAAGACATCAGGGGGCTGATGGGCAGGTGGGCGGCACCCAGCCAGGACTCAGAGGTCACCGCAGGGTGGATGGGGCCAGGTGCTTGGACTGAGTTACCTAGATGTTTGTCATTTCCAAAGCCTGGCCCATGGCTCTTTTCCCGGCTTCCCAGTGCTGTGAGCAGGCGTGCCTCCCCCGGGCCGAGGGCTGTCACACGTGGCTGGGCCTCTCTGTCCCACTCTCTTCCTGGCCTGGCCCTCATAGGCTCCGTCTCACAGCTTCCACGATGACACCTCCTTGTCTGGTGGTTAAGTAGGAGAGGGCCTGGGGCTGCCGGCTGGCCTGCACCTGCGGGCTTTGTCCTCCTCTCTCCTGTGAAACGAACCTACCACTCCTCTTCACCCTCAGGCCTGGCCAGGGGAGTCTTGGCAAAGTGTTTTGCAGCTAGCTTTTGCTGGATCCCTCTTTCTCTCTCTCTCTGTTTCTCTCTGCAGAAAAGTGAACACTGTGGATGGAAGAGAATCATTTTCTCCCAACATCTTGGTGGCTAGGGATAGAAGGCAAGCTCTCAGTGTCTCCCACTTTCTCCCCCCTGAACCTTTTTTTGAAGCAGCTACAGGGAGTGAAACCATGAAGGATTTCCAGGGCTCGATGCTCACAACTGCTGAGGCGCTGTGAGGGAATCTGGGTGTGCTCTGCCCTTTCATCAGTGCAGCAGCCCTGTGAGAAGCCCATTTTACAGATGGGAACTTTGAGACCCAGGAAACAGTCACTTCTACCTCCTGAGTCATTGTGATGGCTGCAATGGATATTTTCTGAGGATGCTGGGCGTTCTAGGTGGCTGGATTGTTAGCATGATCAGCTATCCCCTCAGCCTGGCAAATTGGAAGGCTGGGCACCATCAAACATTCCTCTACCTCTTCCATCCCTGTGGTGTTTCTAATCCTATGATCTCCATGGCAGTGCTATGGCTCGAGCCCTGCTCTCAGGAAGGGCAGGCACCACTCTGGGGGCAGAGGGAGATGGCAGTGCATGGGGTCATCATGTGGCTCTCAGGAGGGCACAGAGCTGGGAAGGCAGTGAAGGCCCGTGACCAGCTCTTGCTCACCTAATGACTGAAGAGCAGGAGAATGGAAGAGGGGACCCTGTGACCACAGAACTGGGGAATAGCTTGTGGGTGAAGCCACTACTAAGTGGACCATCTTGGGAGCTGGGTCAGGGCTGGCATTGCTATGTGTTCCTGGCATCTTCATGGAGGTGACCAGGTATGGGAGGTGGCACACAGGACACAGGTTGTAGGTGAGAAAAACCCAGCATTAGAGGGGGTGGTGCTTGCCCAAGCAAGGAGGGGGTTAGGCAAGGATTTGGACCTTGTGTTGTTGGTTCATGTGTTAGTCAGCTTTCCATTACTGCAACAAATACCTGAGGCAAATACACTTTCAGGGGGGGGAAGGTTCATGTAGCCTCATGATTCCTGAGGTCTCAGTCCATGGCTGGTTGGTCACTGGCTTTGGGTCGGTGGGAGGCAGAACTTCATGGTGGATGTCTTCGGTAGAGGAGGCTGCTCACCTCATGGAGGCCAGGAAACAGAGAGGGAGGAGGGGAGGAAGGGGTTAGGGTTCCACAATCTCCTTTAACAAATCACCGAATCTTATTGCATGAGGCTCTTCCTCTTAAAGGTTCCATTGAAGGTTGGGGACTCAGCCTTTCCCACATGGGCTTTAGGGGACACATATACAAACCATAGCAGGGTCCTCAAAGCCCAGTGCTGCATCCTGAGCTAAGCTGCCTCCTGGAGCAGAGTGGGCAGGGTCACAGGTGCTGGTGAGGGAGCTGGAAAGGACTACAAGGCAGGGGAGCAGGAGGAAGCAAATGGGGCACTGCGGGCTGGGGGTGAGGGGTTCCCAGGTGTGTCTCCTGGAAAGACTTCTGCATCCTGGCTTTCCCGTGCAGCACACATTTCTCTGTGTCCTTCCACAGCCCGGCAAATCAAGCTTCCCCGAATCTGTGAGATTCATTGACTGCTCCCCCTCATTATCCTCACTCCATTTTACAAACCCAGGAGAGTGAGAGCCAGGGGCGTAAGGAAGCCTGGCACAGAAGCCCCACAGCTGGGCAGGGATGCGACGGGGCTGCCTTATGGCGAAGGTGGGACAGTTCCCCTTTCGCTCACCACTTCCTCCTCTTCTTTTTTCTGAGTCTTTTTGTTCCTACAAGTCCAGAACAGTGTGATCTAAGCAAAATCCTCTTTTCAGCCAACTTCTTTCCCTTCCTCTTTTTTTCCCCTTTCCTTTCCTAAAGCTGGAAATGCTGAACCCTTCAGCTTCTGCCACACAGCACCAGGAAAATGCTGATGGCATGGTTTGGGGGTCAGGGGGTACTGATGATTGGTACTCGCTCCCAGGTGTGTGTGTGTGTTGAGATGAAAGTTGCTCCAGGAAAATGTTGGATCCTGGAGCTTAGAGATCACCCTGTCTCACCTTCTTTTGTTCATTCTCAGAACCATTACAGAAACCTTCACGCTTAGTCTCCTTTCAGGAGCGCGGGGAAGGCGCCAAGCCTGAGCTCACCTTTTGGCCTCCTCCCAGTTCACTGCTCAGGAAGTAGCTTTGGGCATCACTGACACCTGTGTGTGATGGGAAACCAGGGCAGGAGAAGCAGGTCCAACCCAGGAGGCACCGGTGCTGGGTGTGGGCTCCTGCCCACCCCAGAGCCGCACCCACCGCACCCTCCTGACAAAGGGGCGCCTCACCTGCCCGGCCCTCTTCCCAGGGCCACCCCTGGGCACCCCCTCAGCTCTCATTACTCACCTGTTTCCAGTCTGCTCCGGGCTTGTCCTGGGTGTCCTCGCTGTGACCCTCACACCCCAGTAGGTTGAAACGGCTGAGCGAGTCCAGAACCAGCCAAGATGGACGGCCTCATGGGTAAAAAGGTCAGAATCGCTGCTCCCTAGAGCTGCAAGTTCTTTTTATGCCAACAAATCAGGGACCTAGATTCCTACCGGAGCCACACAGAAAAGCCAGTGCCTTCTCTGCAGAAGTCCTTTTGCAGAGAGGCCAGCAGGGGAGACTGCAGGGCACAGTGACAGTGCTCTGCGCCTGCAGGTTGTGCTCAGTTCAACCTGATGCGATGGGAAATATTCAGAGAAAAAACTGGGCTGCATGTGTGCAGACTTTCTTGCTATTATTTCCCAAGCCGCACAGCACAGCAACTGCCTGGCATTCGCACCGTGTCAGGTGTTACAAGTCATGAAATGTGGCTTAATGCACTCAGAAGGATGCGCGCAGATTCTGTGCAAATTCCACACATTTAGAAGGGACTTGAGCAGCCTTAGATTTTGTGCCCACCAGGGTCCTGCAGCACAGTCTCTGAGGACACCACATGACGTAGGAGCCATCACTGTTAGAGTAGCAACAATATAAAAACATATCTTTATAGCCCGTAGTAAGTGTTCGTAAGAGGTCTCTGGATACACAGAGGAAAACTGTTTTATGTATGAATTTTGAGCAGTTGTACACCGGGAAACAGGGAATTATCTGCAAGCAAAATATAATTGTTAATACAAAAATGGAACTATTTTAATCCTGACTGGCTTGAAGGTGGAGAAAGAGATACAGAATAGAGATTTGAGATACAGAATAGTAGATGAAACCACGATGAAAGAAAGAAAGACCAAAACACGCAGGATAAAGGAACACTGACTGAAATTCAGACCTTTGGCCAAAGGCAGGGCTGCGCTAAACCCTGCACAGGTTGAATGCGGCACAATTCCAGAAAGTGTTTTTCTTAGAAAACCTACAGTATGGAGGGCCATCCTGAGGTTTGGCAGGAGGTAGTTCTGCATAAAAGCGTTCCAATTGCTTATGGGGGGGGGGGATAAATGAAAGCTGACATCAGAACAAAACCATATGTGCTATTTTTGCTTTGTCCACATGTCTATTTGTATTTTAGCTATTTCAAAATTTGCATATGTCATTCATACATACAGATTCATTCATTTCACATGTTAGTTATGAGATTACTATAGATTCACAAGAAGTTGCAAAATGATATCCAAGAATGTCCACACACCCTGCATCCATTTCCCTCAAGTACTATCTTACAGAACCAGATACAATAGCAAATGCTGGAAACTGCCATCGATACAACCTACAGAACTTACTGGGATTGCACCATTTTCACGTGTACCACTTATGCATGTATACTGACGGGTATACATAGTAATGACGTAGTTATGTCCAGACGAACCCACAGGAAATTGAAAATATTGTGATGAAAATGCACTTAGTTCGCTTAACTCGCTGTACATTTTAGCTTAGCAGTTACAGAGAATATTGGTTGTTTCTCCTTATGATGGCATTGTCCTGGGAGCATGGGTCACTGCTGTTTCCCAGCATGTATATGAAAGGGGTAAGACAGAGTGAGAGAGAGACAGAGAGACAGGGAGGCAAAGGAGGAGAAAGAGAGAGAGAGAGAGAGAGAGAGAGAGAGAGAGAGAGAGATTAGATTTCTGCTTTTGATGTGACAAAATACCTGAAATAAATAACTTGCAAGGAGAAAAGATTCATTTTGGCTCATGGTTTTAGTGACTTCAGTCCATGGCCTCTGGCCCCACTGCCTCTGAGGCTGTGCATCGTGGTACCTCACCACTGGGGGCATATGTTGGAGTGAAGCTGCTCAGCTCATGGTGGCCAGGAAACAATGACACAGAAACAGGAAGGGGTGAGGTCTCAGGGTCGCACCCCAAAGGCCTAATTTACTTGCACTGGACCCCACCTCCTAAAGGTCCCACTACTGCCCAATAGCACCACAGGCTGGGGGGTCAAGCCTTTAATACAGGGGCCCACGGGCTGGTGGTGATTTCTATTAAGTATACGTTGCCTTTTCAACATTATAAAGTTGAAAAGTCGTAAACGGAGCCACTGGAACCTCGGGTCTCTACAGGGATCATGTTAACTGGTGGTGGACTCCTGGAACCACCCACCTGCCAGGGCACGGGCCTCTCCTGCCACCATCACTTTTCCGTCCCCCCACCACATCCAGCCCTGGGAGCCTCAAATCTACTCTGGAGCTCTACAGTATTGTTCTTTTCAGAAATTATTTCCAAACACTTTTGGACATTCTGCTTTTAAAAGAAGTGCTTGATACTTTTTTTTTAAAATTAAGTTTCCAATATACTTTATGTAAATAAAAGAGGACCATTTTTCTTGTCCTTAAGGACTCAACTCCTTACAAGGGCTGTGATGGAGATTGTGGAGTGGCACTCCCAGGTCTGAATCAGGGTGAATTTGGTCTTTTGGCTTCATGAGATCAGTCCCTAACTGCCCTCCTGAGAGTGGCACAAGCCACAGAGTAGCCTCACGGGCAGTCTGGGCACAGATGGGCATTGAAGGTGCTAGAGCTTGCAATGCCCCTGCTGTGGTCTCTGCTATCTATGAAAGTCTCACCCTAAGGCAAGCACTAGGGGTTGGGGGACCCAACTGACGATGAAGTCAGGAATCTGGTACCTGCAGAGGGTGGGCAGCAAGGAAGCCAGGAGGGCACCTTCATGGATGAGGACTTCCTGTGTTCCAGGAACTATCCAGAGGTTGATGTTGGATGCTTGCTGATGGTGTCCCAGGAGGCTGCCTCTTCATCAGGGGTCTGCCCCCGGGCCACCCTACTCTTTGTGTTCTTCATATGGTCAACCCATGGCTGCTGTTCCCTGACAGCAGGGAGCTCTCTGGCTACTGGGAGAGGTAGATAAGAACTGTAGGCTTCTGGCCATGGCACAGTCAACTTTTTCTTGGTTACAGCAGAATCTATGGTGGCTAGGGGCTGCTTCTGATTCTCCGTGCTACAGATCGGATCAGGGACGCACTGCAAAGGCTCATGTTTTTGAAGGCTTAGTCCCCAGGGTGGTTATTGGGAGGTAGTGGAACTCTTAAGAGATGGGGCTTTAAAGAAAGTCGTTAGGTCTTTGGGGAGGGGAGGGGTGCCCTTGAAATATTGACATTGGGAGCTTGGCCCTTTCTTCTTCCTCCTCTTGCTTTTTGCTCCTGCCATGATGTGCTGCCTTGCCACAGCCCCAAAAGCAATGGGGCCAACCAACCACAAACCAAAATCTCAAAGCCTGTGAGCTAAAGTAAATTTTATCTCTTCACAAGAAGATTATCTCAGGTATTTGTTACAATGTGGGAAACTGACTAACAACCTGCATTTGCCTCTTGCCTCTCGCCTTTTGAGGTGCCCTTGCCATCCTCTGTCCCAGCTGCTGGGACCTAAAGCCGCCTGAGACCTGGAGGGAGCCTGCCTTTGCCATGTGGCAGCACCTCCAGCAGCTCCCTCAGGTTGTTCCTGCTGAGGACGTGGGGAGAAACTCACACAATCACTGGCACTTTTCTCATTTGCAGGAGTTAAAGATTAATAGAGAGGAACCCATTGTTCTAAATCCCCAGCTGAATGTGAGGTTTAGGAAATTCCCTGCTTGAGATTAATAAGCTCAGCGGTGTGGTGAGAGGAGGTTTCTGGTGACACACAATAATTGGCCTATTATCTGGGAACTCTGGCTGAATTGGCACAGGCGGACATGGAGCGAGGGGCTGTAAACCTGGGGGTGAGTGACTCAGGCCCAGGAAGTTGTTAAATCCACCATCTCTGAACTTATTCATGGCTAGGGTACGTCAGGCACAGAGTGAAGGCACAGACTAAATATCACTCAGAGCTATGTGTCAGTGCCTTTGTGGCCTGGTGCATGATGCAGGGAAAAGGAAGTCTTGGTGCCTCAGCCTGGCTTGAGCACCAGTGAATAAACTACAGCTTTGCAGAGGCAAAATCCCCCATTACGTTCTAATAGCACAGTAGATTGGAATCCACACCATCCTGAAGGTGGGGACAGCTGCCGTTTGTCTGCTGAGCACTGTGAGCCTGAGCTCCATGGCACTCTATTTCTATACGTGATTCATTTAGGCAAATAACAGTCATAATTTGAGAATGTGTCAGCCCCTTGGAAATTGTGACAGGTGACACTCTTTCTGCCTGCATTTGAAATCTGTTTCTAGGTTACAATTAGAAAAGCCAGATGTCATAAAGGAGGGCATTTGGGTTCACGGACACTCACAGAGGAATGAGAAAGTCACTGTCACTGGGCTCGTTTGGAGCCATGGAACGGAGCTTGAACTCATCCAGCATGGTAGGGACTTTGGTCACTTTGCAGACTGACTGGTGAATGAATGACTTGCTGAGACTTTCTTTCTTGGAAGCCCCCACTTTTGGGGCCACTCTTAGGTTAAAATAACTGGAAGTCCTTGCGTATCATTTAAGGGGTAGATCCCCTTTACGGTGAATTCCAGATCCAAGCCAATCCCATGAAAGCCAGACCCAAAGTGTATCGATCCTATATCAAACATAGGAACTATTTCATTTGCCAATAAGGATGGAGGATATGCCAGGATATGGGAAATTTTCTTGTCTTGTTTTTATTTTTTGGTATGTGTGATGCCAGGGACAGAACCCAGGACCTTGCTCATGTTAGGAAAGTGTTCTACCATTGAGTTACATCCACCCTCAGCTGTCCTTGTCTTTATAAGAAGTTCTTAGATTTATGACAGAGTTACCAGCACCCTTTGCTCCTTATAGCAAGTATTTTTTCCATGACAGGAAAGTCGCACCCCCTCTTATCTACAATCCTAATGTATAGGAAGCTCTTGTGACTACGTTCCATTTTGATAGCAAAATTTGGCCTGAACTGACTCAAAGCTATTTATAGTTTATATTTCTCTCCTCCTATGAATATTCATGTCCTTGAAAACAACATTTACGTGTTAAAATGGGACAGTGTCAGTGCTTCAGACGTCCCAAGAGTGCATTACACAATACATGATGTGTGCATTTCATTGTCTTCTTGAAAATCTGAAAAGGCTGAATTTGCTGGCAAGCCTGCTCTAAGGGATTTGAAAAGGGATTGCAGGGCTGGAGAATACGTTTTTACACTGCATAAATGCCAGATGCCTGTTTCATAGAAGGTGGGATGCAAGCAGACAGCTCAGCTAGTCAGGGGTTGGGTGCTTGGTCCCTGACAAAGTCCAAGGCCACAAACCCATGTGAAATCCCAGAGCCCCCATCTTCCCCGGGCTACCTCCAAAGAGTGGAGCCTGGTCCTGTCTCCTGCATGTGCATGGAGGCTGGG